CGTCTTGGGGAAAGGAGCCAAACCAATGCAAGGCTTCACTGCCCAGCCCCATGGGATATACTGTGCTCAATAGTATTGAAAGCTGCTCTGAGAGGTTGAGAGCAAAGGTGGATGCGCTACCCCCACCCACAATTACTGATTACTTAGCACCATTCATCTTCATTCATGCACGGGTTTGCGTGTGTATGTGTGTGTGTGTGTGCTGCTACACTTAAGAAAGACTCCCGGCAATCTACAACACAGGGGACGGCAACGTGAGTTGCGGTGTCACATTGCCATCAGTGATGCATCGCAATGTTTTTTCCCCTTCGCAGAGCTGGGGTGGGTGTGGCCTGCAAATGACACATGGGCTGCCAGTTTGATACCCCCCGACGTACAACATCAAAATCAAAAGGACTCACAAAGCAAATATTTGTAATAAAGTTGCCCTCATTCGTGTTTTGACCCCCCAGCCTTGTTGATTTCAGGATAGCTCAGATGTTCGTGGTCTCCATGGCAACCACGGATCTATCACAAGTCATCAGTAGCCCAGCACCTGCGTCAAAAGCGACACAGTAGATCTGGTGTATGTCTGAGGCAGGTTACGGGAGATATAAACCCCGGTCATGCCATGAGAGATCTGTCTTTGATTGCTTTCAAATTCACTGGTATCCCTCTCTCCCCTGCAGGGAGTTAAGGCTATTTGATCAACCCATTCCACACGAATAACGGACCCCATGGATTTCCAGAGGAAGCTTGGTGGGTGGCTTGACTGAGGCCTTAGGCACCGCCTGGAACGGGTGAATGGTTGGGGTCTTGGGGCCTAGACTGTCTACTATTGACCTCACCCCTTTCCTAAGAGGTCTGTAGGGGGCGTGCATAAGTGCACCAACGTGCACTTACTGCCCCGTCCTATTGTTTCTTTTATTTTTTTATTTTTCTTACACGTATCCATGTATTCATAACCCTGTTTTTTACTTATACCTATTATCTTGTAAGCAATTGACATAAATAAATAAATAACATAACATAACATAACATAACATAACATAACATAACATAACGTATCACCCCATTGCTTTGAGGAATATTCCAAGTATTTTGGAGTTGGACTTTAGCTGGGCAACCCTGGTTCCTGGGGCTTCGTCCTGTGGCACAACCTGGGATGAGCTGGTGATTCTTGAAGAAATAGTTTATGAACTACCAAGATGGAATTGTTCCCAACCCCCCAAAGTCCAAAAGACTCTTCCAATTAAAATTTCTGGATATGGTCATGTGGGCATCTCAGGTGGTGATGAGGCCTCTGTCCGTTGACCTTGACATATTTTGATAAAGATTTGCAGTTGCTGCAGAGAAGAGAAAGGCTAAGCAAGGGATAGAAACTTAAGAGCAGGAATTTATACTGCCCCCCCCCCCACTCCTCATTTACACAACACAAGAATGTAACACCTCCAGCTCTCTTCCCAGACACAACCGCTCCCCCCGTTACTTATGGCAGCCGAAAGATGCAAAGCAGTAGAAAAGGTCTTGAAGGCTGACAGATGCCCTAGAATATGGGACCTGAGGCTGTGGCGTTGCCCTCTGTGAAGATTGTTGAGAAGGTGGTCCCTGTAGCTGCAGAGAGTCCTGGCAGAAGCGATCTGCATCTTACTTCAATGCGTAGAGTGGCTAGACTGCTGTAGGATGTAACTTGGGGTGCAGAAGGGGGTTGGCTATGCAGATGCAGGTTGCACTTGAGATAGTTTACAGATGTTATCAATTAACAGTTGTGATGTGTTAAAACCCCAGTTTGATTGAGATCATCTGAGTGAATGCCTTTTAATAAAACACGCTAGTCAGAAAAGGAGCTACAGGACTCCTGATTTTATTTTATTTTTTACTATCAGGGCTAACGTGGCTGCCCTCCTCCTGTGTTTTCCCAGAGTACCCAAAGGTCCATTGAAGGCGTTGCTGCCGAAAATCGTGAAAATTAAGAAACTTGGCGAGGGGCCTGGTGGGGGGGAGAGAAGACCAAGAGTGCTAGTCTCCCTCTCTGCTACTTGTCGCTTTCTGTCCCATTGATACAGGTCTATGCCCATGCAGGAGCAGAACTGGAAGGCAAGATCTACATCACTTGCGGGAGGCGAGGAGAAGAGTACCTCAAAGAGTTGCAGTGCTACGATCCGGCCACCAACCGCTGGGACGCCTTAAGCGACAGTCCCGTCAGAAGAGCTTGGCACGGGATGGCTGCACTGCTGGGGAGGCTGTATGTGATTGGAGGCAGTACCAACGACTCCGGCTACAGAAGAGACGTTCACGAGGTGAGGCAGCCTTTGGCTTTGGCTAATGGCGCTTTTATTGCATGCTGCTGATACCCCGTTTCCCTGAAAATATGACCTACCCTGAAAGTAAGCCCTACCTTGATTTTTCCATGTGCACCCAATATAAGCCATAACCACCACCCCCAAAATAAGCCCTAATTAAGATCCCGCCCACTACAGAGTGCACGGGTAAAAACTAAGCTAGGGTGGGGATGGGGGGGGTTGGAGCTACCCTCGCACACTAGTAGCCAGGCCTCGCACACCCTGACACCTGCCTTGCCAGCCCGTTTCTTCTGCAGCCAGCAAGGCTTTCCTAAAGGCCCCTGTCGCTGATAACAGAGCCCCAGATAGATCTGGAGCTCTGTTATCGGCTGCAGAAGCCTTCAGAAAAGCTTGCTGGCCACAGAAGAAATGGGCTGGCAACGCCTCTGACAGCGAAAAGGAGGCTAGGGGCGATGCATGCAAGCGTGGTTTGTCAGTGGATGAAATTTCTCGAAAATAAGACCTGGTGCCTTTTTTGGTAGCAAAAAAAAATTATAAGACAGGGTCTTATTTTCAGGGAAACAAGGTATTTAGAAGACTTGTGTAGCTTAACGGCCAAATAGAAACACCAAGCTTGAACAAGGCTTGGGTCAGAACAGCTGTTCCCAAATGCTCTTCCTAAAATGACCGCTCTTTTAATGTTGTTTTCTATAGGTTGCTTGCTATACCCCAAGCACTTCTCAGTGGACAACTGTCCGTCCTCTTCATGCCGGGCACGGTGAGCCTGGCATCGCTGTCCTGGGCCACAGGATTTACGTCTTGGGAGGGAGATCTCATAACCGTGGGATCTGTATGGACTACGTTCACATCTACGATGCCGAGAGAGACTGCTGGGAAGAGGGTCCCCAGTTGGAAGATGACATTTCTGGGATGGCGGCCTGCATCCTTACTTTACCAAGGGCGGTTCTTACAGAAGGCGAAATGGGTGTGTCTGACGGACAACGCAAGAGAGTCCAGGATTACTCGGGTGTGTCTGCTGAGGTCCTGAGAATATTAGATTGGGAGGAATTTGAGAGTATGAATGATAATTAGACATTATTTTGGGGTTGGCTTTTCTTATTTGGGCTGCCATCAGAGCTCCAACCCGGAGGAAGCCTGGTGCCATTTAGAAAGCGAAAGCCCTTCGCAAGAAGCCTTTTTGGGTACAGTTCATTAAACTGAGGAAAAGTTCTTTGATGAGAAGCGGAGCATCCTCTTCCTTAAGGAAAACATCAGTCCGGTTGCCTTTTGCAAAAGCACTTTTGAGACACCATGAGCTGAATGACTGAGAATATCTCCATAGATGTACAGCTCGTTGCTTGGCCAGTGGAAAACTTCCAGAAAAAAAAAGACAGTGTAAGTCTTGATCTTCAAATTATTTGCTGATTGGAACAAACCTCAGAAGTTTTAACAGTAAAACAGATGCATCGAATTAACCAGCTACTAAAAGCTTACCCGTGTTGCTTAATTCGTCACAGAAGCTGCATTAAAGATTGTTTGGCATAGTATTTTTTGGCTTTGTTGCACACAACCGTGGCTCCATGTCTTCATTACCTCTGAAAACCATTCCTGATCATCTCTGCATTTTCATACAGATGGAAAAGAAAAACCACCAGCCTCTGTTTTTGCTCCTCCTATTTATTTTATTTTGATTTTTAAAACAATGAAATTTGAAAGCTACTCCAGCACAGTGTCCCAAGCACCACATCACAATCACACTAGAGTATTTGAAAATTAAAATAGTAATTAAAAACCTAGTCTAAAACCTATCGAAAACATATAGCAAGTTAGTTTAAAAATGCCACGATATACATAGGGCGAAATCACAGGTTTCCAGGCCACCCAGGCAGCCTTTCCTCTGGGCTAAACGGTCGGGTTAAACCAGGGGAGGAAGCTCGGGCAGGATAAGAGAAGAAAGGACCCTGGAAAGCGGATTCTTGGAAGAGAAAGGCCGCTTAAGGTGAGCCTTTCGGTCCGCCCTTCTCGGACGTTTCCTCGGCCTCGCAGGGAAAGCCGCGTGGTGGTTTCCATCGCTTCCCCCTCGGAATCCGCTTTCTGGGGGAACCGTCAGCCTCGGTTGCGGCGGCTGTTCCTCCTCTTCATGCGGGGCCGCTTTGAGCCTGGCGGACTTCAACTCCCAGAATCCCCCCGGGCAGCTCGGCTCCCTTCTCTCCGCCAGGCTTAAAGCGGCCGCTCTCTTCGCCGTTGCCGGCTGACGAGGCCGAGGGCAGCGCCGACGCCTCTTTCGTCAACTCCCTCGGCTGGTGCTGGAGTTTTCCTCCGGCGCCGGACAACGAAGGGAAAAACGAACGGCGGCCCGACTGGGGCCCCCGAGCGCCGCACTCGCCTTCCCTTTCCTGGCCTGAGCCGCCTCGGCCTGGCAGGCTCCCCAAGCCCGGGCAACCGCTCCCGGGACTGGCCGGCGGCGAGGTCGGAACCCCGGCGAGGTCGAGCGGAAACCGGGCCCGGAAGAGCCTTGCCGGGGGGGGGGGGGGGCGGCGCGGGGGAAACGGGCCGACGACCGGACGGGGAAAGCCCCGCCCTCCTCCGGGCACAAGGCGGAGCCTCGCGGGAAAGCCCCGCCTCCCCTCGTCTCCGGGCGGAAGCCCCGCCCGCCCTCGAGGCGGAGGCTGAGCGCGCCTGCGCGGAGAGCGTGTCGCGCGCGCGCCGCCTCTTGCTCCTCCCCCCCTCCCGTTCCTCCGCGGCGCCATTTTGGCGCGGGCTCCGGCGGGCGCGGCGGCAAGGCCGGAGCAGCGGCGCGAGAGCCCCGCCCGCCATGATGTCATCGCCGCCGCCGCCGCCGCCCTCGTCCTCGTCGGGGCCCTCGGGGCGCCGCTTCGACGCGTCGGACCGGTCGGCGTGGTACGCGGGCCCTCTGTCGCGCGCGGAGGCGCAGGGCCGGCTGCAGGGCCAGCGGCACGGGACCTTCCTGGTGCGCGACTCGTCCACCTGCCCCGGCGACTACGTGCTCTCGGTGTCGGAGAACGCGCGCGTCTCCCACTACATCATCAACTCCCTGCCCGGGCGGCGCTTCAAGATCGGCGACCAGGAGTTCGACCACCTGCCGGCCCTGCTGGACTTCTACAAGGTCCACTACCTGGACACCACCACCCTGCTGGAGCCCGCGCCCAGGTCAGCCCGGCCCTCCGCCTGCGGGGTGGCGCGGGGGGCGGGGGAGGACGGGGAGGGGCAGCCCGGCGGCGCCCGCGCCGCTTCGGCTCATTCAGAAGGGGCCCCTCGTCACGCGAGCAGCTTGTGGGGCAGATGGGCGTCCGAGCCCCCCACCCCACCCCCAATTGAGCCTCCCGGGAGGGTCCCGTCCCCCTGGGTGCGTGTGCGTGTGCATGCGGTCGAGGAGGAGAATAAACGCCCGTCCAGTTCAACAAGACGAAGAAGTGAGAAACGCCACTCAGACAAAGACACAACCACCACCCCCAGGCCACCAAAGCTCCTCCGGCCAAGGCCAGCGCCCCCCCCTTCCCCCCAGGGGCCAGGAAAGAAAAGAAACCCCCCGGGACATTTTTTTTTTTTAACCACAAAACTCTCTGGGTGCAGGAGTAGAAAAGCCAATTCTGACCATTAGGAAAACTCTCCCCCCTGGACGTCCCCTTGTCGTGTGTCCACCAATGGCTGGGATTCCCTTTGTTTTGGGAAGGGCTTGTCTGCCTCGGACATCCCCAGCTGGCGACCTTGGCTCCGTCCCTCCCAAGCCTCCCTTGCATTCCAGTGCCGTCCCCCGTTTCAGTTGTCTGGTTGCACCCCATGGCAGCCAGGGAGAAGATCCAGGCCTCCAGAATGCCATCAGGGTGAGGTGGAATTTCCTTCCAGGGGGTGGGCATGCCCTGAGCCCCCCCCCCCCCAAACGGTACTGTTGTTTAATGGCATCAACCTTAGGTTGGCTCACATTAGCTGGATAGAAACCAGCACTGAGTCTTGTAGGGCTTTACTGGCAACAACCAGCACCTTGAATGGCACTTGGAAGGAAACCAGCGTAATGGTGTCGCATGTGCGTACGAAGGCATGTCTATTATTGCTCTCATCACCACATGCTGGACTAATTGAAGCTTCTGTGTGTGTCTTTAAGGGCAGCCCCCTGTAAGCCCTTTAGAACAGTTGAGCAATGAGGTGATCAAACAACGAAAAAACCATGTTGTGAGGGTGTCATTGTTTCATAAGCGATTGAGTAATTCCCGTGTTGTCTTCAGGTACCCGCTGATGGGTTCTGGTACCGGCTCTGGTGCATCGGCTGCAGAGGAGAATGTGGAATATGTTCGGACTCTTTATGACTTTCCTGGTAACGATGCGGAGGATCTACCATTTAAAAAGGGGGAGATACTCGTCATCGTAGAAAAGCCCGAAGACCAGTGGTGGAGTGCCAGAAACAAAGACGGGCGCATTGGGATGATCCCTGTCCCCTATGTTGAGAAGCTGGTGAGATCGTCTCCTCATGGGAAGCAGGGTGGCAGGAATTCCAATAGCTATGGGATCCCGGAGCCCGCCCATGCCTACGCTCAGCCTCAGACCTCCAGCCCTCTTCCCAGTGCCACCCACACTCCCGGAGCGGTCATCAACCCCTTGCCTTCAACCCAGAATGGACCAGTCTATGCCAAAGCCATTCAGAAGAGGGTTCCCTGTGCTTATGACAAGACTGCCTTGGCGTTAGAGGTAAGCCGTTCAGCTGGAGCAGCAGCTTAGATCAGTTCCCTCGTCCAATTGGAAGGGCTTGTCTCAAACTATTGGTCCCAAATAGTTTTGTTCTCTCCGCGCTCTCGTTTCACGGACTGATCAATCATTAAATGTTCCAATCTCACCTCCCACAGTCACTTTTAAATGTGGAGCCCCTGGTAAAACTCGGTGCCTCTTTGTGATCAGGCTTGGCGTGGGGGATGCAGCTGACGTACAGTAGTACCTCTGGTCGTGACCATAATTCATTCCATTAACTTTGGCAATTTCTTCGTCTTCTAATGTTTTGTCTTCATGAATTTCTGGGTCAAGGATCATGTTTGATTGCCACCCAAGGATGTGTTCATGACCAGATGTAAAAAAAATGTGAATTTTTTGGTCGGAACCTATTCTACTGTATTTAGGTTTTGCAATCTGCAGAGGGCCTTTCAGCCATTAGTGAATCTGCTTCTCTACTGCAGAACATTAAAAAATCCTTGAATGTTATGAAAGGACGACTGTTCACGTTCTAAATATTTAAGCAAAGTAGCCTTGCATAAGTATTCCATGTTCCTTCCTTCTGCTGAACCTGGGGTGCAAGGTCCTAGGCCCATATTGACTCAGGATGGGACAGATTTAACATTTCTCCAGATTAGGTGAATCACAAATGAGGTTCAGTGAAGGCATTAAAGTCATGTATTCAGAACAAAAAAAAGTATTCCGCTTAGAAATTTTGAAGGCGTCTTATAGTTCTGTTTCTCTTTCCCCATTCCACAGCTGCAGAACACACTCATTCTCCACATTTATTTATTGGTTAATTTTCTCAGACTAAATATCCAATTATTGTATGTACTGTTCAGCCTTATTTTCTCATTATATCTTTAACAATTTTGTTTTGAGCAACTTAGGTCTGAAGTGATCTCCCACGGTGGCAGGGCTCACTCTAAAATAGGCTTATAGCCTAAGCTTTCTTTCACAGTTGCATTTCTTAATCTTTTATATTTCTTCTTGAAAAATACAGTAAAGGCCCCAGGCACTTATCCTCTTTCTGTAACTCTTTGGCCATGTTACCCAGTTGTTTTTCTCATAAGGTTTTTCTCCCTTTTTCTTACACTTGGTTACTGTTGCCGCAGCCTCTTTAATTTCTCATTGCCAATATTTTGAATCCTGCCAAAAGAGCTTTAAACATTTCTTCCTGATTGGGCAATTATAGAAAATGCTTTTCTTTGTGGTCCACTTCAAAAATGTCAAGGTACTTTCGCTTTTGTTTCCTTTTCTTCTTCCTTATCCAAAGTATTATTAAAACCATGTTGCTTTCAGTTGATCGATATAGCTAGAATTTGGCCGTTACTGTCTGCACCTTAGCCAGCCTTTTACACTCTTAACGTTTCAAGAGATTTAAAGATTTCTTCAGAATTTCCTTAGATACTTTTAATGAGGGAGTAAAGAATTGCAAGCAGTATGCAGTACAATCCCAGTATCTTGAGATTGTATTGCCAACTTTCAGCAGGAAAAAAGCATTTATTTAATAGATATATATATATATATCTGCCAAGTTGCAAGGACTACATTTCAGATAGGCAGGTAATCGAGATCCCAAGAGGCTTCCTGTTCCCATTTCTTCTCTAATGCTCAGGAAAAGGCACCCCAACTGTCACCCAAGTCCCTTGCGGTGGGACTTAATCCTCTGCCCTACGGCATGTTGAAACCCTCCAAACAATTTACTGTGTCCCCATATTCAGCTACCTTAGAATGTGGGCAATTGAACTTAGAAGCGTTTTACGGAGGAAGGAGTTGGATAATGAAAACGTTATTTCCCAAACGATATTTTGGAACCTGCAGGAGAGGGTGCCTGGGTTATGGGTGCGTTGGTATTTAAATTCAGTTTTAAAAAATTGAAAGGTCAAAACGTGGTGTTCCTCCTTTCTAATTGACAAGGTAGATGGTGCTACTCATACTTGAATCGCTCTTCTAGCACCCAGCTATATCTTTTCAAGGGAGGCTCCCGTCTGCTTCTAAGTCGTCACATCGCCAACGGTTGGAACTCCGCATCTTCACGATGCGCCAGCTGCGGTGCAGGGGAGCCTTTCCTGGCCTCTCCAGGTGGCGCTTGAGTTCTGCCCAGGCTGCCCTCTGCTCCTTTCGTGCTCCTCCTCCTTCGGTGCTGCTCCTGATATCTGGCTGCCGGGAAGCAGCAGGGAAGGGGTTTTTCTTTCACCCCCAAGTCAGGCTGAGCACCTCCCCAAAGATGCACCTTTGCCAATTGCGGGGAGGTGGAGTGCTGGGCTAGGACAGGGCCTGATCCCACCAGGCTCCTCTTCCTGGGTCTGGGTAGCACCTGGAAGCCTGAGAGATCGGATAGGACTGATGAGCTGGCATTTAATAGGTGAAGGGCTGTGTATGAAAGGAAGTTGCAACGCAGTCAATGGAGGAAGAGAAAGGGGGGGAGCACAAGCCAGGCCTCCTTGGGGGGGGTGCGCTCCTGCCCCACGAAGCGATGCCTGAGGACGGGGCCCTTCAGCTCTCTCCCCCTCGTGCGTTCACTCCAATCTTGGGTTTGTCTGGGGAGGAATTTAGTCCCTGTCGGTGGCTTGCGGGGAGCGATTTCGGCTGTTTGGTTTGTCGTGAGAAGCTAAGCGTGGCCTGTCTTGGTGCTAATTTAATGAGATGGGAGCCCCTCCCCCACAAAGAAACCTTAAGGCCGTAAACTGCTGAGCGGGCGGGAGATTGACGAAAAATCTCGGATGACAGCGGTGGCCAACCACTTCCTGCTTCCTGCCCAGAACAGCACTCAGCTTCAAGGATAGTTTGCATTCCTTTGCTTAGGTGATGTCAGGTTTTTATTTTATTTTTATTTATTTATTGGTGGGGGAGGGGTGCTATTGTCCATGGAGGCCGGGCCTGGTTTGCTTGCACCTTAACTGTTGCTGAGTGTCCAAATAGCTTTGAGGCTGCTAATTGGAGCATCATCAGGCTTATTAAAGGCCAGTTCCCTATTTTTTTCCTGTGAGATTCGAGTGAACTGCTAGGGATGGTAGGCTGATTCGGTTCGGCCTCACAGGGTTGCCTACCTGGATGGATTTCTGATACTTATAAGGCTTGGCGAACTCTTGGGAGAAAACAGAAGGAAGCCTACGAATTCTGCCTTCAGTTCCTGAATAAATCTCTTTCCTTATTGACAGCAACGCCTTAATGAGGGCTGGGACTTCCCCCCACCCCCAAATCCTGGGGTGCAGACAAAGGACTGAAGAGCCTTTGTCCATTCAGCCTGGTTCCTGCCCCCCCGAGCACCTGCAGGCAGCATTTCAGGCAGGCAAGGGAGGGGGCTGGCCCCTTGGTCTCCCCCAGCATATTCCTCCTACCTGAGCTGGCTTGGCAGAGAGAGGCAGGGTGGCACTGTAAGCCCCCCACCCTCAGCCCGGCCTAAAAAGCGGGCCATCCGTTAACAAGGTGCCCCCCCCGGGCCTAGAAGTGCTCTGCCCCTTCTTCCTGCCCCCTCCGAAAGGCGGGTTTGCCTCTGTGCCCCAGCCAACAGAGGCGTCCTGGAGGCGCCCCCCTGCCAGCCTTGGGCGTCACTGGAAGAGGTGGCCGCGAGCAGCCCCTTGGCTTGGGCACAGTTCCTCCCACATCCGGAAGAGCCGCTGCGTGGAGGCCGAACCCCACGGTACTCTCCCGCAGCCGAAACCTCCACGGACTGCCGTCAAAATCTCCCACCAAGAGGGAGCCAAAAGGGGTTTTCATCACTGCTCATTACTGTCATATTGGTTGCTGTCCAAGGCGGTTGCTAAACGAGACAGGGCTGTTACACATAATAACCTTCGCGCAGGGTTGCAGACACTCAGGCGCACTCTTCATATTGGAGATTTAACTTGAATCCACACTAACCAAGCTGAATCCTAAAAAAATCAAAGCGCACCATCAAGAGAATGATGGGAGGATCTGCCCTTTTTCCATTCTAGACTTCTGTTCCCCATCCCGGAAACAGGTTAGTAAATATATTATTTAGGCAGCTTACTTTCACAAGATGCTTTGGAAAAAAAAAAAAAACCTTTGTATCTATCCAGCCTTTGGAAATCTGTCTAGTTTTCTGTTTTGCTCTGTTTGCTGGCATAAATGGAGATGCATTTCCAAATGGGTTGCTTGATTGTATCATTTCAAAGAAGATTTCTCCCATTTTCTGTGATTAAAGAAAATCTCTCAACTTTCAACCTTTTAGCATCAAAAAAAAGGTTCCATTTTCTGCCATATTGTAACACTTCTGCTATACTGCATTTTTGCCTCACGCTACATTAGAATTTTATCTAATTACAGCAAAAATCAATTTTAAGAATTCAATTCAAAGACTGATAAAATAGATCTATCCTCTCCTCCTGCATGCTTGCAGATTTTTACTCAACACGAGGGGCAAGCATTATCAGATTATCAGTCGGAGATGACCTCTTTTGCCCAATTTACATTTCTTTTGACTATGCCAAACATGGTCTGTGGATTTCCCCCCCCCCCTTTTATGTGGTGGTAGTTTTCTCACGTAAACTTAATGGAAGGGCAAGTGAATATTGGTGAAAGAAGAAGAAAAGCCCCTCTAAATACTTTACGTAAATGCAAATCTTTTAGCGGAAGGGCATTTTGGTATAGTGGTCAAGGCACAAGTCCCACTTTCTACACACAAAGCCAGCCGAGAGACTTTGGGCAGACCTTGTCAGTGGCAAACCACTTCCAAAACCTTGCCAAGAAAAGGCCAGGGCCGTGCCCAGGGAGTCCCCGGACTGACTCAGAAGCAACCTTTTCTGAGGGTCCCTGGAGGACTTTGCTTTTCCGAAAGTGAACCCATTTTCAAGTTGTTATTTTTTGCATATATATCACTTGAATTGATTCATGGAAAGGGAGGCAGACTATGTTTTGTTGGCTTGGAGGAAGGAGAGCTGCTACCAAGGAGTGAGCCCATCCATCCGTCACCGTCATCCATCGAGAGAGTCTCTCTGGTTAGCTTCTCTTTGATCTCAGCTTGAATGGACCAGAGAGGTTGTGTCTGCTGAGTGAAAGTTGGGATGGAGACCTGACAGGTGGATGGAGATCCTCCAGATCTGGCTCTTTCAACAGGCAGAGCTGAGGTGACCCTCCTAACTCCTCTGTCACCGGCTGTTCTATACTTGCGTTTTTCCTTGCTAGCACAGACACCTTGATCGCTGTTAATTCGTTAGCCAGTGGAGGGCCCAGGAAGGGGCTTAGAAATCAATTATAAATAAAAACTCTCACTGATGTTTTATTGAGGAAGGAGATCCTTGTTACCTGCACTTAATGCCCACCGGACGCATATGGAAAGCCTGTTTTAGAACAATGTTCATTCTTTTGCTCAGGAAGGAGATATTCAGGTTGTGGGACAGTTCAGATTTTTTTTTAAAAAGGGAAATTCTTTAGGGGAATAGCATTAAACTAGCTGCCTCGTAGTATAATAAAATATACTTTGAACTAACTCCGTTCTAAGGAATTGGCTTGTAAATTTTTCACATAATCAAAAAATAAGACCGATGTACTTGCTTTCCAATCTTGTTTCATTCTAACTGATTAATCTGCATAATCCTGATGGCATTACTGCTGCTCACGTTTCCACATTTGCAGATAGTTGGAGGTAACCAAATGTGGCTTCTCTTTAAGAAAGAGCAAGCTTGAATGTCCTGTCCTGCTAAACTAGTGGAGAATTGTATTAAATAACATGAAATTAAATGTCCTACAATCGAGTTGAGCAAAAATACTCCTTTGTGTATATTTGATATCTCGCTGTGGAAGCCCAACCAGAGCATTAACTCCTGGGGTTCTCCTTACCCCGTCAGGGCCAAAACCACCGGATTGTTGTTAGTGTTTGGACATGATGAAGACATCAAGGTTTTATGAATGAAAAGAATTACTGATGGTCCTTGACTTATAACCAGAATTGGGCCCAGAATTTCTGTTGCCAAGCTAGGCAGTCAAGGAAGTGGCACCCCAATTTTATGACCCCTTTTTGCTTGTTCGATTGTTATGGAAATCGCTGCGGTCGTTTCCTTAAGCGGATCTGTCTTCATTGACTCGGTTTATTGGAAGCCAACCGGGAAAGTCACAAATGCCAATCACACAAACCTGGGATGCTACAGTCATTATAAGCACCTGCCGGTGGCCAAGCGCCTGAATTTTGGTCCTGTGACCGGGGATGCTGCGGCCGTTGCAGCGCAAGGACCAGCTGTGAGCCACCTTTCCGGTGCTTTTGAATGCTTGGGAAGCAAACGATAGAAAGTCAAAGGCCAGCCGTACGCAGAGCGGGAAGGAGAATACCGAGATTATAGCAATTATTAATGCAGCACGTTTCTGTTCTTTCTTTCTGCTCTCTTTTTAATAGTAAAGGCACATGGAAGAACATGAGTTACATCTTTTAAGTTTCCCAAATAACAATTTTCCTGGCCTTTTCATTTTTTTTTTTACTCTGCGTATGTATTTATATTAAAACATTTTATATATTTAAAGTTTTCATTGTTTACACTATCTTACAAAAATCCAAATGTTACTTGTACATTAATGGAGGCCTACAGAGACCGACCGGGGGGAGGCATTGTTGGGGTAGAGCCAGGTTAGTCTATGGCAGCCAAAAGTCAGGAGGAGAAAAGGAAGGAGCATCCCAAAAGGTGCTACCAGGCCCCTGAGTTGACTAGAGAAGAGCGGAAGCTTGGTAAGAATGGCAACCTTATAAACAACACCCCAAAAACGAAAATATTTTCTTCCCCGTCTGTGATGTTAGAATTTGAGATCGTCCATTGAAACCCAGAGAGGTTTAGGGTCCCTGGAAGCAGTTTGCACATAATCAGAACATGGAATTGGCTGCCGGCCAGTTTGGGCAATTTCAGAAGAGAAAGTTTGTGGAGAAAGCTGCTGAGGCCACTGACCTTCTGCCTGGAAGTCAGCCTGCTTCAAGCCTAGGGCCCCAGAACAACAGGCCGCTGTGCTTCCCAAAGGCAGCCACCAATGACCACTGAAGACTGGCTGAGGTCCTGATTTGAGGTGCCTTGTCTTTTGGGGGTGGGAGTGTGCAGATCCCTTGAAGGAATGGGAGAATATTCTTGAGATGCAGTTCTTGTAGGAAGAAATGACTTGATCCTTTGCCACTTTATCCCGCGCGTGTAATGCAGTTTTATTTATTTTTCTTTTTTGCAGGTTGGTGACATTGTGAAGGTCACACGGATGAATATCAATGGTCAGTGGGAAGGAGAAGTCCATGGAAGAAAAGGGCTCTTCCCTTTCACGCACGTCAAAATAATTGACCCTCAGAATCCCGATGAAAACGAATGATCTGCTGGTCCATCTCTGCATTGCTGCTTCCTTCTCCTGGCTATTTTGAGCATCATTTGAAGTGCGGTGGTTGTTGATGGCGCATCCTAAGGATTGCCAGTTGCTCATGTTTCCATCTTGCAGTGATTTCACCAGCCCAGCCATGTCTCTTTTGAGAACGCACCTGGTAGTCCGGCATTTGCAGTTTCTCCTAGAAGGTTTTTGGACCGTGGGCTGATTGTGGTGCTGTCTAGGCAGAGGGGGAGGGTTTGAGACATCCGGTTTCTTTGCTGAATACTTTGCTCAGAAAGAGAATTCTAGATAATTTTGTCTAACTCCAAACAATAATAAAAATGCATTTTCATGAGGCATGGAAGATGAGAGGACATAATCATGTTAAACAATTACGTCTTTAGAGAATTGTTGATGCTTCTGTGTTACAAAGAGAGGGTGTTTTTTTTTTGAGTTTGCCATTGATTTAGAATAAATTGTAGCAAACTCTTGAAAACCACATTTCCACATTGTCATCTTTATAACCATGTATAATTGATTCATTTGCCATATACCTGCCTAAACCTCTGCTTGATTCAGATTTATTTAGATTTGAAATGATACTCCAGGCACTAAATACAACCTTTTAGAAGAACCTTATACGAGCTTTGATGAAACTACATTTACCCCTTTAAAATCTTGGTGTTTTTTTTTAAAAAAAGCAAAAACGAAGCATTGATAATCAGTTACCAAGAACGCAACAGCAACAACTCAAAAGATACTCTTGGGCCTTTGTTTTCTGCGTGGAGGCGCAGGAGTACAAAGTCATGGTGAAATCAGTTCTCTGTGCTAAGTTTAAACCCAGTGAAATATGATAACGAAGAAACTTGAATGTTGGTTATAGCATGTGAAGCCCTTGACTCCCTGAGGGACGGTTTTGAAAGTTCCCTGGTGCTGATCTCTTGCGCCGTTGAACCTCAAGTGCCTTAACCCGAGGACGACAGGTGCTGAAAGGGACAGTTGGAGCCGTTTGGTCTAGAGAGAAACCTTCCGGATCACCAGCAGCGCTGGGCAGGGGGCTGACATTCTGGGGAGAGGGCTGCCCGGGTGCTTTGTAATGGACTACAATGTGGCCATTCTATTAAGTGCCTGGGCACGATTGAATGACTGTCGTACTACTGAGCTTTGTGTTAGGGATATTTATGCTGCACTAAATGTCCGTCTGCCATACCATAGTTCTGCCGCACAGCTGGCCTAATCCTACGAACAATCCAGACAAGGGCAGTAGCTGAGCTGTGTTTTGCCTCGCTGGGCTGCAGAGGGAGCAAGGACGCCTGGAATTCGGCGAGTTGTGATTCTGCCGGGCTACTCTAGAGCAGCCAAGGCTTTTTCCCTTTCCTTTGGTTAGCTCCACTCTTGGTTGCTTTCTTGGTCAATGGAGAATGAAGTGTCATAGACAACCACGCCAACCATGTCAAAGGCCCCAGGAAGGGAAGCGGGCAGTCGGAGAGTGGACTCGGAATGGCTTTGATCAGAGCTGGTCAAGGCAGTTCAGGTGCAGCAGACTAAATTAATTTGATGGTACATTTTAAAGGCATCCAGATGTTGGCTACTTTACTGCTTTTTTCCCCTCTGTTTTGGTCTTTCCTACCTAGAGAAGTCGGAAGTGCTTTTGATTGTGGAGGTCCTTGCCGTTTGCTTACGACTATTGCATTCAGAGAGCCTCCTGTGGAATCCAGCTACGCTCTGCATTATTTTGAGGATTATTATTTTTTTCGGTCTGTGCTTTGTCATGTAGGTATTGAAAGCCTCGAAGGTGACTCAGAAATGAGTTCGCTCATTGAGCAGGAGAAGGGTGCAAGCGGGGTCCATCGGCCGCGGAAGGCCTTCTGTTTCTTCCTTGCAACAATTGATGCCTCAGGTTAGCAGGGAAGGCCTCTTAAGAGCTGTCCCTCACCTCAGATCAGGGAAGGTCTTGCAGGTTGTCTAATTAAGGAGCGAAAAGCATTTGTTCTGATTATTTCATACGTGTTTTTATTTTACTTTGCCGAGGGGAGGGGATTGGAGGTGAAATATTGTAGAATGAGACTGTCTGAACTCCAGTTTGGCTGCCCCACCAGTCATATAACGTTTTCTGGTGTCTCCAGTGAATGCGAGTTGGGGAAAAAGTAGCCTGAAATTCACGCATCTTTTAAAGTCAGTGAAGCATCATTTGAATTCTGGGCAGTTGGGAGGGGGACTCTCTGACAGCCCCTCCAGGAAGAGCTGGGGGGGGGGGGGCGTGCCTGGCCGAAATAGGCCGCCTGTGGGAAAGGCCTCCGGGTGAGCGTGAGATACAGGATAGCCCACAGCTGCATAGTGGGTGGAGCAAGAGGGTCAGAAGGCCCCCCCCCTAATTTATCAGTCTCTAAAGGAGACGGTGGGATAGTTGTACTTTCAGACTTGCGAGATTCGGTTAACGTAACTGTACAAGAAAGCTATTAGGTCCAAACCTAAAGATGAAATCAGATTAAATCCTTCCTTAGTCTACTTCTAATGGCGGAATCTTGCCAAACTAAAGCTATTACCTTCGACCTTAATAGATGATATTAGGGTGGGTGGACTAGAAGGACCTCCAAGGTCCCTTCCAACTGCCGTCAATCCTAAGAGATTCTAGGTGTGGATACCCTGAGCCCCTTTCCCTACTCTCTGCTCCTCCGGGCGCCCGCTCCCATCACGACGGATAGGATTGGCTTCTTTCACCAGGTTTCCCGTCTGGTCTGGTGACCCTGTCCAGCTTGCAATCTTCCATCTCTTTCCAGCCCAAGAAATCGGGGAGATGCCCTCCCGAGGCTCTTGCTCTGCCCAGGTCTTTCTCACACACCCCTGCAGGCTGCCCGTCCCCTTCTCCAGGCCGAACAGAGTGGACGGAGGCTCACGCTCACCAGGGACTGGCTCCTGGGATCTGTGGACTGTGCCTCGCTGTTTTGAGAGTTTGTCAAGGGTTTTTTTTTATTATTTTATGCTACAAATTAACAGTATTAAGTATATTTTTAGAACATGTGAACTGTGTTTAAAGTTAGTGCCTTTTTGTTTTCTTGATAATTATAATTCACTACTGGTCCCACATCGAGCAAAGGAATTCAGTGCCCCTGTTTGTGTTACTTTCAATAAAACATGCATCATGTTTGCAGAGTTCTTGTCCCGTTTCTTTCTTCGACAAGCTTGTCATCCAGCTCTGAGTTGTGGGGGTTTGGTGCCTTAAAGAGCAGACCTCTCCCTACTGGCCGCTTCTCCCTTAGGGGCAGGGGGGTCCAAGGCAGAGGTCCCCATCCATCACCTGCCCCCCCCCCCCCAGCAGCCTTGGTGCCATCCAGGCAATTTATGTGCACTGAGTAAGTTTTAGTCCCGAGCTCATCCCAAGGTACCACAGAGATGCAGGTGGGTCATTTTAAACGGTATTTTTATGAGCTCCCATCACCAGAGGGTAGCTGGACAGAACAAACAGAGGAGCTGTTTTGTTACACTCGGTTACACAGCAAGGTTTGTCAGACCAGAACGATGGAGCAGCCGCTTCATAAAGTGACAAACCAGTTACCCCATGCAGAATGCGGTGAGTGCGTAGGGCATTCCGGGAGGCCTTGTTGCTTCCTGCGGGCAGTAAGTGGTGTGCTTGAAGGAGAGCAGCCCTTTGTCGGGACCTCGGACCTCGTGTTCCAAAAAGGTGGCCAGGTAAAAGACTTGAAGCTTTCCAGAGGCCAAGAGCAGAGCAGAGAGAGACCCCAATGGCACCCAATTCCCAACAGGACTTTGCCTCCAGCCCTGAAGCGAGTAGCAAGGCACCCCCAAAACATGGGAGTCTCGTGTAAGGGGAGGCGGGGTTGGTGCTCCACTGTTCAACTGTCCAATAATCCTCCGGTGACACCTGTTGAGCTTCGTGGGCCTCGTCACCTTTGCAGAAGGCATCTTTGGGGCGCCTCCTGCCCATATTCAGCACCCCTCAGGAAAGGGGCCCTCTCACCAACATGCATAAGGGAACAGAGCACATGGGCTCCAGTCTGACCGGCCCCCGGCAGCCGATCCTGAGCTCCCTGCAGAGAAGGCAGCATAACTTCTGGCCCTGCAGTCACCGGGTGGCGGGACCACCCACTGGCTGAGGCTTTGATCTGGAGCGGAAGGCGAGAACCCCTGGGGTTTGGGTTTGCCAGCGGGCTCTTCGACATGTCCAGTCACCCCGGCATCCTGCCAGAATGGAAGGAGCGGAGTGGCAGCCAGACTTTGGTGGTGTTTAGGGTCTCGCTCAGGTGCCGTGGGGAAGTCCAGCCGATGGGGCCTGGCCCAGAATTCACTGAAGGTGCTCGAGTCCTTGGAAGGGGCTGGCAGAGACGCCTCACCAGCTGCAGGAAACCTGAGGGATGGAGAGAAAGAGTTGCGTTCCTTTGAAGAAGCCGCCAATTGGTTGTCAGGGCAGGTGACAACGGAAAGAAATGACCGATAGCTGCTGCGGCTGAGTTTTGGCCAAAATTAAATTCATCCCTTCGGTTGTTCCACTGAAGTTTCTTGGCTTCCTTCAGTTCCGCAACAGATATGTGTCCTTTTAATTTCTTGCTTTAATATTAGCTGTCCGTGCACATAAAGACGGCTTGGCAAGAAACCTAATTATTGAAAACCTGGAGACCCTAATAGTTTAATGACAACACTGAATTTCTGAAATTCTGGATCAAAACTTTGGACAGGAAGGGAAAGTGGGTTAATGGTGTAGATTCTTTGCTCTCAGGGCAACTGAGAAGAAGACACCTTCCTGGGACAATTTTTGTTTGTCCAAATAGATTTTATAAAAATACATTAGACAGAAGAAACATTGAACTATTCTGAACACAACATTTCATACTCAGAATAGTCATTATTGAGTGTTCCAAGCCTAGATAAAATTCGCGGTTAAACATACCAACCTATCTGGCCCCAACGCAAAACAAGCAGCGTCAGATCCCGTCTGGAGCGCTGCCATTCCGACTTTGCTGGAACCGCGTGGGGGTTTCGGGAGGGGGGGACTATCTCGTAGACAAGATAGACTTCCTCCCAGCCGGTTCTAGCCTGACACCAAAGGCGCTGCGTCCTGGGGATGAACCGCTATCAAGTGAACGCCTCAAGAGTTCCCCCAAAAACCTTTGTGGCACTGTATTGGCTACAGGTGGGTGGGTGCAGCGGGTGAGATTTTGAACGGGGAAGAATAGCTTAACACTTTGTGTGGGAACTTCAGAATCCGCCTGATTTCTCTGCAATCACTTTCTCTTAGGACCTGTACCTTTCGAAAACTACTTATTCCGAGAGTCATGCTCTCCTGAGGGGGCTGGTTGAAGTCTTTACCAGCATTACATGTTGTTACATGTGCATTACATGTTGTTTAGGTCCAATGTTCCACAACTGCCAGCCTTACAAGACAGATCAATAGGAAACAAGGACAGCCCTTTCCTGGGGTAGAATGACCAATATCTGCCTCCCCAAAGTCAAGAAGAACCAGGAGTGAAAGGGAGGTCAAAGGAAGCTTCCCAAAGTGAAGATGGAAGTGACTGTTTAAAAGGAGTCCTGTTTATCCTTGGCTCAAAAGCACAAATCCTTGGACCCTGGCTGTGCATATCAGCCCCCCCACTCCACCGATCCCCCCCTCCAATGTTCTCCAACAGATCCAGCAAAGGAGGAGGCTGGGGCATTCTAGGAACAGCTCAATTTCCGTGTCTTTTTCTCATGAAAGCTGTCTAATCTGATGGTCTCCCTGAGATCATCCATCTGATCAGGTTAAAAAAGCAAGCTGAACGTAACTGAGTGCACTTTAACGGAAACCAGGTCTTCCCTTAACAAACAATCTGCTGTGTCCTTCCATTAGCAAGGACGCAGCATGTGGGATAGGTGGAGGAGAGGGCGGGAGCTCAATTCACCCTCCTCTGCTTCCGACAGACATTCGACAAAAGCCACCATCAACTGAAGCCATGAGGTCAAAAAAAAATGGCCACCAAGGAAGGAAGATTGTCACTTGGCACTTACAAAGAGCATAAAGCAAAAATAATATAACAGACTGTTTAGTCTTATGGAGTAGATCTGATGATATATGTGGGGAAGTGAAGAGGTGGGTATAATTATGACTGAAAGGGCTGAACGGCATATGAGAAAGCATGAATCTGGTGACTTGTTGTTGATGCATATGAAATTAGGTCACAGAAATATATAGATAGGACTGATATGGCCATCTACCTGGTAAGACGACTCTGATTGACTCCAAAGAAGAATAAAAGCAAAACCAGACAAAAAAAAAAATCCAAGATAACCAGGCCCACCACTTCCATACAATCCTCAGTGCCAGTTTTGTCCTATCCCAGCACCTGGGGAAAAGGCCGGACAAAGGAAAATGGGGAGCCTTGAGTTGTAGCGCTGGAAGGAAGTATTGGGAATACCTCGGCCCACAAGAAAAGCAGATCATACAGGACTAAGTGAAGTAAAGGGCGAGCGTTCAGTGAAGGCAGAAACGATGACACTGGAGTATTCGGTAACTAAAGCTTAAAATATATTGGATATATAACGAGAAGGCAAGAAACACTGGAAAATACCACATGGAAAAAATGGCAAACGGCATTTGGCAAAGACGACGAAACAAACGACAAAGATGCCAGTCACAATCACTGTTAACATAAGTGTTCAAGAAGTCAAAGAAGCTATGGCTACCGTAGGACATCCTTCCATCCCCTTCGCTCACCAGAAGCACGGTGGGATACAGGGCGGAGTCTCCAAAGCCTTATTTCTGCTCAAGAATTGTCCCGGGGAGAGGGAGGCTTCTTTACCCACTCAGGCTATACAGCAGGGGCCTCCAACCTTGGCAACTTTAACACTTGTGGACTTCAACTCCCAGAATTCCCCAGCCAGCTTTGCTGAACTTTGCCGGCTGAGGAATTCTGGGAGTTGAAGTCCACAAGTCTTCAAAGTTGCCACGGTTGGAGGCCTGTATAGGTTGGAGGCCTATACAGGACGTGCCATAAAATTCCCCTGGGGACGGGGGAAGCCATTGGGGAGCTAATTGCCCCACCAGCCTCCTTTTAGAGACCCTCCAACCGCAGTGACAAGAATCACTAAATGGCTGGATCCCCGCAAGAGAAAGAGAAAGAGAGAAGCTCAATGACTTCTCGCAGTTCAGCATTTTTTTTCTGATACAGAAACATGAATTGGAAAACAGGAACATGGAAAAAAAAAATAGAACAAAAATGGGAACAAAGTCAAAAGCCATGAAGACGTCTTTTTTTGGTTTGAAAAGAGGAAGAGCTTCATTGATCTGAGGATGGAATCCTTGGCCTCGGAGTTCGGAGCTTAGTCTGCTTTCTCACAAGATTGAGGTAGATCTAGAATCAAAAGAGATCGTGCCCTACCAAGTTCTCAGAATCACAAGGTACCATCTGTCTCTGGAAGGGAAGAATCCAAGTGGGTCCCTCTTCCGCTCCTCTCCTTCCAAGCCCTGCCTAGCCTACTGCAAACTTCATCCTGCTCCTCCGGCACTCCCCGGCTAGAGACAGAAGCTCGGAAAGGAGCACGGGGTTCGGATTACAGTTAGCCTATCATGGCTTTGGAGGTGGGGGGGCGCTTGCTAGAGGATGTAATGACATCAGTGGAGTGTCCTGGTTTTCAATTAAAATCATTTGGGCTTATTTGATAATCTCAGACATCATGAAAGTGAAATAATATTAAACATGTACCACTGTGGTCCTAGCTGGGACGTTATTTCCTTGCAGGTACCAATGATGGCAGGAGTGGGGCCTTATTGGATAGAAAATTTAAATTTGACATTTTGAAATGAGAAATGGAGACTTTGGTTTTAAAGTAATTTAAACATTTAAGAGCAGTTTAATCACTTCTCCATTTTCAAATAGGGTGGGTTTTTTAAAAAAAAAACATGTCCATGCACTTTCAATTAGCAATTCTGACATTTTACAAAAGTAACATAATTTAATTAGAAAGGTTGAATATCCATAAATATAGTTAAAACACTTGTTATCCGTACAGGCTCGGATGCCCTTCCAGCTCAAAAAAACATCAGGGCTGTTACTTTTCTTTGAAAAAAAATCTTCATTGAAAATAAGCCAACAATTACTAAACAAAAACCCAACCTCACAAAATAAATGTGCACAACCCATGACAAATTTCAAGTCGAGAATTGGAGTATCCTATATTAGTAATTTCAGATTTCAAGGTTATTAGATTTGTGCTTATTTATTTAACCAAATGCCTGTTATGACTTAAAACCCAAATAGTTTGGCAAAAAATTATCTCCAGAAACTATTGGATGCCTTGAAGAATGATTGAAAAAGGCTGTGTCTTCAAGCTAAAAAATATTGGATGAAAATACGTACTTGGTTGGAAAAATGATAAAGTAGCATATAGACATGAAACCAGAAATATTCTTACTGGTTATTCTACCAGAAAAACATAATAAAGGGACTATATACTTGATTTTACATGTATTAACTGCAGCTAATCGTATATGCTCAACAATGGAAGTGTGATGAGATCCTGACAGATGAGAATGCGATTAAGAAAATACTAGAAAGTGCAGAAATGGATAGAGTAACGCTTACTATTAAGGCCAAAGAAGAAACTAAATGCTTTTTTATATGAGACTCGTTTTATCGATGGCTAGACAATAAAAACAGAAGTTAGAAAGAAAGGGACATAAAAAGAATAAATGTCAAAATGGAAATTTGTTAAAATGGACAAACAAAATATTATTGTTACTACAGCGTTAATGTTACTGTGATAAATGCCATTGTAAACATCTTGATTATGATCACCTAAAAACAATTGTACCCAGACAACACACAGTTTGATTGAAATGGAATTTTTATATATATTAATAAAACAAATAACATTTAAAAAAGAGAAAGAAAAAAGGTTCTGTCTTGTTTTTACACTGGAGTTAAAATCACTTTGAGGACTTGGAAGGAATGTGAGTCCATATGTTATGGGGGTGTCAAGTTGCTTATTGGCTATAAATAAAGCAGGTTTTTGAAGGAAGATGTTAACTTTTAAAAAAATAATATTCCAAAAATTTTAATTGTACATCATGGATACACATGAATACACACAGGATTCGATAGGAGCAAACAGGTGATTATGCACTCACAGAAGAATATTTCCGTTCTAGACCCTATTTATATATGGATTCTAGACATTTCCCTTCATGAAATGTCTCAGCCCTGAAATACGGCAGCTTTGCACTTATGGAAAGGCAGCCCGGAACACAGTATTCCCAGCGGTCTAGATTCAATACATGGTGTAAAACTTAGGCATTGACTGAAATTAGAGAAACATGACATTATGTCAGTTCCTGAGATCTATGAGTAATTACCTGCTTTTCTTCTTCTATGTAAACGAACCTTTTCCCCCCGATTACTTGGGTTGTTTTTCCTCTGTTTTGGTTTTTGTTTTTGCTTCGGTCGCCCAGGGAAGAGGCCCTTTGGGTCTCTGCTTGGCCGGCCTCTTCCTGGGGGAGCAGAGGGTCAACCTTTCCCATCCGAGCCCCCGAGTCACGTTGCCACAGAGAAACGGCACCTTGGGGGGCTGTGAGAGGGGTTCATCCCCAATCAGCAGGGCCCCCCCCCCCCCCCCCCCGGGCCCCCAACCCCAACCCCCCCCCCCCACCCCCCCCCCCCCCCGTGGTTACCTTGAGGAGATTCCAGGTAAGACAACTCTTACCTGTGGGCTTGTGAGGAAGAGGAGGTGGCGGCGGACAGCCCTTCTTGCTGCTCTTCTGACACCCCCCGGGCAGGGATCTTCGGCGGGGGGATGCTGGGACCAGAAAGCCAAGGGGGCCCACGGGCAGTCGGGCATCCCTCAGCTTTCCCCTTCGCGAGGCTCCCCACGGCAACACCTGCCAAGGCACAGAAAGAGCGAGGAGCGCCCAGAAAGGGCCTGCAGGGGGGGCTTGGGGGGCTTTCGGATGCCCCCCCCTCTCTCTTTGGGCATTCCCTGAAAGCTCCCGCTGGACCGCTGCAGCCAAAAGGCAGGTTAGGGTTAGCAACCACCTTGCCCGCCCCCACAAAAAAATTTTTTTGGCTTCCTGGCAGAGCTGAGCTGGAGTGGCCTTTTGGCTCCAAGGCCACTCCTGGCTGCCCAGCTTCTCCCTGGCATGGAAATGCCACCCCTGAGCCATTTCCCGTCAGAAGTAAGCCCAATTCTGGCCCATTTTGTAAGGGAATAAGCAGCAAACTTCTTAAAGGGGGGGGGTGTCTTGTGGCCTGTTGGCCTCCAGCTCCCCCAGCAGCTGAATCAGAGGAGGAGGAGGAGGAGGAGGTGTGGGAGTCAGGGTCAGCATCAGGGCAACCTGAGAGCTCCAAGGGGGACGTGGAACTGGCAGAAAGAGAGAGAGAGAGAGAGAGAGGGAAAGAGAGAGAGAGGGAGGGAGAGAGAGAGAGAAAGAGCCAGAGAGAGAGAAAGGGAGAGAGAGGGAGGGAGAGAGAGAGAGAGCCAGAGAGAGAGAGGGGGGGGGGAAG